CAGGCAACCCATGGCCCGAGGTGACAGAGGAGTGGCGGGCCCGTGCCTGCCAGCTTCGGAGCCAGTGGAATGAGCACAGGGTACGACGAGGACACCCGCCAGGGGCCTAGGACTCGGCCAGGGGGCGAAGCGAAGGTGGGCAGGGCCGGAAGCCAGCACTGCTGGAGATGCAGCCATGCTGCATGGTGACCGCACCACCGGGTGCCACGCAGATGTCAGCCTCGGCCCGTGTCCGCCAGGGGGGCAGCCAGGACACGGCTCAGCCCACCCCAGCCCTGGCCACCAGCGTGGGACACTGCTGGCCAGGAGAGCAGGTCTCCCAGCAGAGCTGGAGAAGGCGGAAACCCAGAGCTGCCACAGCCACAAGGCAGTCCGGACGTGCCAGGCTGCTCTGCACCTGCCACACGCTCAGCTGAGCAAGGAGACAGACTCAGCGACACCTGCCCCGGCTGCCTGTGGTGTGCGGGGCCGGGCAGGGGAAGGTCGCGCTGACTCGCCTGCACGCATGGCCTGTGTCCCCAGCGCCCTCTCCACCGTCCCAACCCTGCTCACTCTCAGGGGAACTCCTAGAGCCTCTCCTCTGGCCACTGGCCCCCTCAGGCCAAGCACCCTGACCCAGGCCCAAATATGACGCTACCGCCTGTCCTGCAGGCTGACCGACCAGCTTCGAGCGCACCAGACCCAGCGCCTGCCCCTCCCGCTCACTTTTCGCCGACCATGTGAGCCGGCTCATGTGTTTTTTTTCTGTCTTTTTAGATTTTGCCATAGGGAGCGTGTGCTTGCTCCAGAGACAGACGGAAAAAAGGAAAAGTGAGAAAGCACCCCCAGGGCGATGGCCGCGCTGGTCTCCGCTATCCTCTCAGGATTCAGGCTTGCTGCACACATGCTCAGTGTGATCCAAGCCGCTGGGTCTGGGGCGTGAACCGCGGTCAGCCACACAGGATCCACCACCTTCACCTCCCGCCACATGCCGGCCCAAACCACCTTGCGTGTAAACTGAGACCCAAAAAGAATGCTGCAGCTGTTCTGGGCAATGGCCTGGCAGCTACCCCAAGAGCCAAATACACGGCGAGGGACATGCAGCCCGCAGTCCCGCTCCTGAGCACTTCCGGGAAAGGGAGTGCCTGGGCACACAGCCCTACACGGGCCACAGAGTGGCAGCGCACAGGCGACCACCCAGCAGCCCATAGCCCCGCGGAACACGGCCGGCCGTCGAAGGAAGAAAGACCGAGCCGGCTGCCCCGTGGGCGCAGGTCACAGGCATGCTGCTGAGGCCGAGCAGGGGGAGGCCAAGTCACGCATGACGCCACTCACAGGACACGTCTGGGACAGACGGGTCTAGAGGGGCGGAGAGCAGGGGCTGGGACGTGGAGGGGGAGATGTGGCGACTGCTCCCGGGCACAGGGAGGGAATGCCCTGGAACCAGCTCACGGTGACGGTCTTCCGAATGCACTGAAAAGATGTCGCGATGCGCGTGAAGTGAACGCAGTGTTTGACTGACATCTCGAGAAAGCCGCTATGGGAAGGGACAAGAATGTGCTCTGGGCGTGAAATCCCGGGTCTGAGGGGTCAACTGTAATCCTTTCTACGAGCAATAAAAATAATGGCACTATATTCACATATGCGCAAAAATAGAAAAACGCGATGCAAACTTTCAAGTCAAAACTCAAAACTTTGGCATCTGCATAAAGATCCTCTGGGGTATGTGTTTCTTTCACTTTTTTTTCTCTAACTTGCCAGAGGGCGCCTGCATGTGCTAGAGAAAGACAGAGACAGGGAGGGCGGAGAAAGCACACACCCTCCCTTCTCCGCTCCCCACCCTGCCGGATCCTGGGGCACGCGCCTGGTGTGTGTCCCAAGCCTCCAAGGCCAGGATTCAAACTGCATGTTCAGCCACATGGGATCCAGCTCCCTTAACCACCAGGCTATGTGGCAGCTCCAAGTCTGTTTCTTATTTGCACATTCAAGTCACGAAGGGCTGCACTGCAAGAGCCTCGGTCTCCCCACGGCTCCGCATCAGTACGAGGTGGTGGGTGCGGACTGCTGCTCAAGTAAATGCTCTCGGCAGGACCCACGAAGGCCGGAGCCGGCTCTCTCCGGCTTCCGCACTGACAGGACAGTGGGGCTAGGGGACACAGCATGGCACTTCAGTTCACAGAGCCTCCTGGGCACACGCGAAGGCCCAGAACCGCAAAGAGGCAGCAGCACGTGGAGACGGGGCCACGCTTCACAGTCCACAGGAGCCTCCGGGCCTCAGCCAGCCTCTCAAGGGTGGGGTGCAGCATCTGACCCGGGCTGTGGGTGCAAACCGCCCAGGAGCCCCGAGAGCATCCCAGCTCATGGAGGAGAGGGGGCGGGAGAGCTGAGAGCACACAGCCCAGCCCAGCCCACTCAGAGCACAGCGCAGACCAGGAGCCTCCTCCCTGCAGCCCTCCCTCCGCTCCCCTCGCCCTTGCCCTCGCCTTCACGCTCGCCTTTGTTCCCTTGGAAGACAGTGGCTTCTATTTTCCTCTATGCAGGCCTGGGTAGGGCAGGGCCCTCGGGGCCTGGCACAGTCCACGTGACCAGAAGGCCCTGCCTGCCACCCAGCCCTGTAGTGGGTCACTCAGGCTCCCAGATCAAATCCCCACCCCAAACCTGCCTGTCGCCTGGCCTGTAACCAGGAGGGCTGCCCTGTGGGTGAGGAGGGCACACCGAGGGCAGCCCCGGCAGTGAGTGGGCCAGGCCACCCTGTCATTCTCTTCCTTCCCATCCAGAGGCCTGGGCTGGCAGGGAGAGGGGAGAGGTGATGGGCCAGGGGCACACAGGCCTGTCCCGGTATGCCCTGCTCTGGCCGGGCTGTGTACACCCCGGAGTCCACCGTGTGTCCAGGGCTACAGCTGGTACAGGCCTATGCCCGATCAGCCCGATCAGTAGAATAAGGGACAGAGGAGGAGCAAAGCTCCGGAGACGGTCGGTCGGAGCAGCTGCACTCCGCCCCCTCTCGGGGTGGCCTCCAGGTCCTGAGGCAGATCTGAAGGGTGTGAGTCTTTCATCGAGCGTGCCCTCAGGCCTGGCACTGGGAGGGCGTCTAGCATTAACTCACAACAGGCCAGCCAGTGGACCGGGTCGAGCCAAGCTCACGGGGCAGAAAGCTGAGGCTCGGGGAAGGGACCTGAGCAGGCCAGGCCCTGGCAGAAGCACTCGGGCACCCTCTCTGGGGAGGGGACAGAGGCTGGCGGGCAGGCCCGGGCTCTGCAGACAGCACCATCTCTGGTGGTCTGCCAAGGGGCCGGGCGGGCCTGGCAGCCAGCACGGGGGAGCCTGAGCAGAGCGTCATCTCTCTCAGCGTCACCCAGGCCGGGCCGGATGAGATCCATCTTGCGTCTGCCCGGGGATGCAGAGTTCACTGAGCTGGGGCCACCAGGCAGGAAGGCGGGTGGTGGGCAGACAGCCAGCACCGGGGGTCACCCAGGGGCCCCCATCTCGCCGCCCTTCCCGGAGGCCCTGGCTGCCAGGCCCGCCCTGACGCATCTCGGCTGTGTCCTCGGGCGCCTGCCGGGTCCTGTGCAGTCGTGGCCGGCCGGGGGAGGGAGGGGTGGCGGGCTGCCAGCCAGGAAGGGGTCAGCAGGCTGGCTTGAGTCCAGTCTCGACTGCTGGGAGGACAGGGCAGGCCCCACGGGCGGGGACTGGCCTCGGTCACACAGGGTGTGAGGAGCCAGGTGTCCTCACTCCCAGCTGAGCCCGGCTCCCTGGGGTGAACAGTGGACACCAGGAGGGTGGATGGGTACCAGACCTAGCTGGGGAGGGCAGGACACGCCCCTTCGGGAGTGGGGCCCATCCGGGGAGAGGGGAGGCTCACGGCACCCTGCAGGGTGTCAGGCCAGGCCCTGGGGGTCCAAGCCAACCCTCCTGGCCCTGCTGTCTGGCAGGCCACCATGTCCACCAAAACACAGACTCCGGGAGGTCACTTACCGCAGGGCCGCCCATGAGCTCAGCACTGTCCCGGCCAGTCAGACGTGTTTCCATGACTCTGCCCCAGCCACCCGGAGCTGGGTGGGGAGCCGGCCGCCCTGACTCCATTCCGCTGGCACTGGAGACCATGGCCCGCACCCCTCCTGGCAGACGGGGCTGAGCCAGAGCACTGCAGGCCGAGCTGCTCCCATCAAAGCAGCAGCCCAGGACTCTGCGTCCTCGGGGACCTGTCGGCTAGGCCTCCCCTTACCAAAGGGCCAGCCGGACCAGACCATCTGTCTCCTTGTTATTTTTAAAATTTGCTATAGAGTGCACGCGCTCACCGGAGAGAGAGAAAGAGAGAGAGAGAGAGAGAGTCACCCTCTGGGGGAACGGCCATATTGCAAACCCTTCACCTTCCTCCTTCGGGGATCTTGGGCTCATAGTCACACACGCTGTCGAGTTCACCGAGAACCATGCAGTCGACCCCACAGGATCTGGTACCTTAACCACCAGGCCACAGCTGGCCCCGAGACCACCTGTCTCTCCTTGGACCCCCAGGGACCTCCAGACACGAATGGTGAGGGACCATGGGGTGCTCCTGGGGAGAGCCCAGTGAAGGGGAGTCCAGACGCCCCGCAAACACACCCACGTGACTCATGGGCGTGGGGAATGGCCGCAAACCCAGCGGGTCTGAAGGTCAGATTTTCCTGCCCTGCTCTGCCCAGAACTTTTCCGAGAGACCTGAGAGGAAAGAAAAGAGACCGCACTGTTTTCAAAATAAAGTGACCTGCCGCCTTGTCAGAGAAGGTTCCTTGGGCGCAGACGCAAGCAGGACTGGTCTGAGCCTTGGCCTGGGCCCCCGGCACCGGCCCGAACTCAGGGGGATACCTCTGTTCTGCACACGGGCCTTGGGGGTCCAGATGGTTAAAGCCCAGATCTCCCGGGGCTGAGGGTCCCCAAGGGACAAGACAGAGTCAGAAACCAGGAGACAGACAGACAGCACGGGGTCCCTCCCGTCACCCCAGCTGCGACAAAGCCCCTGTACGGAGAAGCCCCTGACCACCAAATCCCAAAAGCTGAGCCCGGCCGGGGCCTCCCGAGCCTGAGCCCTGAACTCTTGCAGGTGGGCGACAAACTGTCAAAACTCTTGATGCCACCACCCTTTGGCATCACCATCGCCATCCCAGGACAACTGCCACACCCGACTGTGCCCTTACCCTCAGCCCCACGTACAGCCGCCGCCCGACCAGCCGGACTCAGCCAGTGAACCCCCGCTCTGACCAAAGCCCTGAAGGTCTCCCCACTGCACTGCCCTGGGCATCACACAGCCCACTGCGCGGCCCCGCGAGGGCTGGCACTGCCCACCTGGCCCACCTGCCCCTCCCTGCACGGTCACTGCCTTGCACCGAGTCACACTGGGCTCAGTGCACGCCTGGGCCATTGCACTGCTGTTCCCACCGCGCTGTGTCCCACAGGAAGTTACGCCCAAGTCCCAGCCCCAGTGCCTGCGAACATGACCTTACTGGAAGCGGGGTGCCGGCTGGTGTGACTGAGCAAGGCTGGGTCCCACTGCAGTAGAAGGGAGAGCCCAGGGGGTCTTCCGTGAGCTGAGGGCTCTGGAAGCCACCAGAGCCAGAAAAGATGGGGAGAGTCTCCCCAGGGTCCACGGGGCGAGGATCTGCCAACAACACCCTGCTCGGCCCGCAGACACCAGGCTGCAAGTACTCGCTCGGGTTCCTGCAGGTCACCAGTGCGGAGCAGGCTGCTGGGCACACACATGCCCTCGAGCGTCCACGGGTGCTGTCTCCACCCGGGTCTCGGCTTGGACGTCACCTCCCAGAAGTCCCCTGTCACTCCCATCCCCACCCTCCTCTGTGCACCTCTGTTTCTGGACTCTGTTCTGGGGCACACAGGCTCAGGTACAGCCCTGAATACGCAAGAAGTCGGAGAATGAAGGCATAAGCGAGAACAGTGTGTTGTCGGAAAAGTCATGGCGTAGTTTTGCATGGACTTTGCTGACAGCCCAATAGAAGGAGAACGTGGGATGCCGGAGGATGAAGAATAAAGGGGGACGGAATGAGAACGCGGACCCCGAGCATGAATGAGAACGCGGCCCCGGGCATGAATGAGAACGCGGACCCCGGGCATGAATATGGCGACGGAATGAGAACGCGGACCCCGGGCATGAAAGCGGAACGGAATGAGAACCGGGCCGGGCATGAATGAATACGGGGACGGAATGAGAATGCGGACCTTGGGCATGAATGAAAACGGGGAACAGAATGAGAGCGCGGACCCCGAGTATGAATGAATACGGGAACGGAATGAGGTGGTAGAAGAGCGTGTGCCCTCGGAAGCCGCGGCCCCAGGCCCCCACTCACCTGCTCTTCTCGCTGCCCTCGGGCTCATCCGCCTCGTCGGCGCTGCAGGTGGCACTCGAGTCGCTGTCTTGGGGGGCGCCCGCGCCCTTGGCCCCGGCCCTGTTGCTCCCTCCCTCCTTCTTCTCCTTGAGCGCCCCCTCGGGTGCGGGTGCGGCATCAGTGCCAGCCTCGGACCCCTGGCCTCTGTCCGGACCGCCCTCAGTGGGCTCGTCCTTGCACTCGCTCTTGATGGGCTCCTCTGGGGGCGCCGCCCCCGGCCCCTCCTTCCCGGCTTCTGCAGCCAGCTCATGGGCCACAGGGGGCTTCTGCTCCTCCTCCTCCTCCGCTGGGGGCGCTGCTGTGGCCTCTTCCTCCTTCTCCTCCTTGGGGACCACAGCCAGGGGTGCAGCTGGTGACGGGGGTGCCGGTGGGGGTGTGGGTGGGCCAGTGGCTTGGGGAGCAGGGGCGGGCTCGGCTGGGGCTGGGTTGTCCTCCGGCGGTGGGGTGGGCGGTTCGGGGGGTGGCCCCTCAGTGCCCAGGGCAGGTGTGGGCTTGGGCCCGTTCTGCCCCGTGTCCTTGGCAGCCTCGGCACGCGGGGAGGGGACGCTCTCAGTGTCAGAGCTGTTCTTGACAGTGGCTGTGCAGGCAAGAACAGGAAGAGGGTGAGCGGTGCTGAGGCCACGGTGTCTGCACCGCCTGGCCCGCTCCCCCCGGGCCCCCATACCCGGGCACCCATCCTAATGCTACAGCCAGAACCCTTCCAAGGCTGCTGCCATTGCTCAGCCGCCTTCACGCTGACCCTAGACCTATGACCCCGTGCACTCCCAGCACCCGAGCAAGGCCTTGGGCAGCTAAGGCCATGCTCCGGGGGGGGTCCTCATAGCCTTGGCTCCACCCTGCCCTGCCCGCATGGTCAGCGCTCGTAGGAAATGCTGCACTGTGGGTGCTGGCTGTCCGTCTGCTCAGGGTGGACATGCCAAGTGCACAGCCCAGGTGAGCACCCAGTGACTGCCCTATCATCACCCTGACAGCACTGTAGGACAGCAGGTCACGGGGACGCCATGCCCCAGCGTCCTGTCAGCTCCCCGCAGCAGGGTCACAGACGCCAGCTGAGTGGTGTGGTCAAAGGTGCAGGTGCCCATGGAGGGCACAGGACCCCAAGCCTAAAACTCACTCCTGCCACGGTTGGGGTATCGATTGACCC